TCCGTTTACTTACTGACGCGGCCATAAACCCAGTTTCTGCAAGAGTTTCGATTGCGGGTGCGATCACTGACGAGACGCGAGCTCTGCCATCGACGAATCTAAGTGTTTGGATGGATAAAATTGAGCTTCTAACAAAGAGTGCGGATATGAATCCCACATACTCTGTGAGCAGTAAAGTATAGGTGAATCCCAAACACGGTCAAGAAAAATAAGCTCTAAGGTGTTGTTATGTGCTTTGACTAACAATACACAAATCGCCCTGAAGCGGCGTGGTTGTGAGTCTCTCAGGCAATAGATGTATAAGCAGCTGTATACGGCTAGACTACATACAATGCGAACGAGCACGCTGATCTCCTTATGCATAAGCTAAAGTTACTTACTTAGGAGGCTCATTATGCATATGCTAAAGATACTTACATAGGAGGGTTTTTATCCAGCTCCACATTGTGTGGTTTGAAATGGGTGTTGGCCACATTTGTTAGAGTGGCGTAGTACTCCTTGATTGTGGGCATGGAGTGTTCGGCGTAGTACGGCCTCTTCAGCAGACCTTCGGTGTCAATCAGCTGTATGAAATGAAATATGTGCTCTGTATTGTGAGCGATGGAGTAGAGCATCTATAATATGGGAAAAAATGGCAATGTAATGTATACGTTGAAGGTCATCCTCATACGGTAATAGGACCATAGTATCTATTCTGTGCGAAACGCCCTTTTTATGATCACCGTTACTGGATTGTGTTTGATGAGTTGCTATAGCAACCATTAGGTTGTACGAATACCGAAACATATGGCCTTTAACTGATAGAATGGAGTTGTGCCATGAATTTGTCAGAAACCAATGAATCCACATGTCACGTATAGGGAGCACTCAAGTGTAGTTTGGCAAAGCAAAACCGACACAACTGTTCATATATCGGCTGCCGCCCGGCATCAGAACAATGGTACATCTTGTATTCATTGCTATACAACTACATGCACAGAGCAGAAATATGTACCCACGTAGGCTTACCTCTTCGAGCATGAATGTCACGTCTCGATCGGACAGAATGCCAGCCCCTTCTAAACCAACAGGGCCTCCAGTGTAGCTTGCAGGGGTGGCCTCTGCACCTACAGTAGTATAGTTTGAGTATAAATGAGATACACATTTGGTAGTGGACCAGTGCGTTGATGTCTGTGTAGTGCACTGATATATCCGTGAAACTGACCATAGTGTATGATAAATAAAATTATAGCCTGGCATATATTCGTGACAGTAGGGTTGGAAAGGTATACACGTTTTCATATGATAATACTCGTGTATATAAGACGATCTCTAGGTAAATGCGGATACATATCGAATATATATATATATGTATATATATATAATCACATCCTAAGCGTATTACCTTTGTACCTTGCCTATATACCTGATACACATACCATCAACGCAAATACGTTCCATCCGTTGTAATACATCACATACACATCATACACGCATCATACAATCATTAACACATCATACACAATCAAGCACAAGAATCACATAATGCACATCGTATACACATCGTTCACATCACACGCTAATCAGCGACTCTCCTACCATCACTGGCCGCTGACCGTGCTCGAGAGACCACTCTGTTGAGCGCACCGTTGGCACGGCGGCTGCCGATTCTCTGGAATCCACTCCTAAGCGAACTGTACTTTAGCATCTCGTAGTAGTCGATGAGAGTGTGAGTGAACCAGGTTTGGCAATCATATGATATATATACGTTGGTTGTATGTTTTCTGTGTTTTTTTTTCAGTTGGCTATGGTTTGTGATGATAGTTTGATATACAAACCCTGAACCCTACAATAAAAATGAGGAAGGCATGATCTACTGATCACAGCCTAAAACAGTGCAAAACACTGCATGATACTTAGCAACTACGCACTCGCATTCCACAATAAGCATCAATTTAAAAATATACGTTTCAGAAGAAGAAAAAACGCGAGAAAGTTCACACCCAGTGTTGAATTGTTGGAAATACCGATGCTACGATAAGAGCATAAACGTTTCAAATTCAACGCCAAAATGGTTGATTTTATAAACGTTTTGTCAAGAAAAGAACTCCACCACCATCATCATCAACATCATGATGAAATATAGAACAGCGCTAAAAGAGCTAAAAGATACAGACTCTGTTCTCTATTAGAGAGTGCTAATGAACTTTGATGGGATATAGCCTGCTGTTTACTCAGAAGACATGTTCTGGCGGATCATTACATATTTATGTATATATGTTTGGCTGCTATGTCCGAAAGGTACTGCCTCAACAACCTATCTGCTCTACTGCTCTCTAACATACTTCCCCAGCTGATGTCTATGCCTGTGATGGATTTCACACTTTGTTTTCGGATTACTGACCAATTGATTTCACACATTGTGCTCGGAAGATTGACCTTATGAATATACAAGTATATACGAATATGTATGAAAAAAATATATTTATAGTCATAAGAAACGCAAGGTCCCCTCCCCTCCTTGTATCTCAATGCTGTATTGCTGGTGTGCAGTGTATGCGGATTGTAGTGCAATGTATTTATCACTGTTGAGTAGCATATACCGTTGTCGGTTGTCGGAGAAATCCCTGCGTTCAGTGACACCGCTGTTTTTCAAAACTCGTACCATGCTTACCCGCACCAATACTTCTCATAGTATAGTATACACATAACAACCCCATGCTGCTAAAGTAATTGGTCAAACTAGGGCCACCATGTCAATAAAGTTTCTGCCAATGCTTTATTTCGGCTCGTTACCTGATACTTCAGACTAAATGCAACACCTGAATTGCTATCGCTCCTAATTTTGCTTATCCGCCGTTCTCGTGTACTGCAATCAGCGCAGTCATACTTTGCGCACGGCCATGCCGCCGCCAGGTTGCACTATGCCACTCGTGGAGCATACTAGAGTTGTGGTAAGCTTAAAGTAGAATAGACCCGTACTATGGCTATACTCCTAGCTTGGCTCATAGTATGGTTTGAAACAAAAGTTGAAGTGTGGCTGATGGGATAGCCATACTCGAGCGATACCGCTGCTACGCATCAGTCTAGCAGACGAAGAAGTGGATGAAAAGCCGCTCGAACCCTTAATCCACAAATCTTAATAGCAGTACTATCGCTTCTCATACTACATTGTACATACGAGTACTTAACATTTGAATGCACACACCCAATCTTTCCCTAGACGAGGACTAAATTATCTGCAGAGCAATATATATTGTCACTTAGTAGCGCACCACCACCTGCAGGCTTCTGTTGTCGGAGGTGTGGCCCAACGCTCTCTAGAATAATCACTAGTACCCCTCGTACTGTAGTATACGCAGGAGTCATTTGCCTGTGGTCCCAAATACTCGAAGCTATTTTATTCGTGGTGCAAGCACACTATGTTTGTGCCCCAACTTCTCAACCTGCCCATATTCAAGTGGTACAAGCGCACTTTGCTTATACGTTCAAATACTCGACCAAACCATACGTTGTGTGTTTTCTTTGCAGTGTGCATCATGCTGTAGACCTTTGGTACCACCAGCTGGCGCATGCTGCTGAAGGACTATCCATGCTCTGGTATACCTTTCGCATAAACTATATTCTAGCATCGCAAATTTGCTACATACTATCCGAGCCATATACTATAAGGTGGTAGTTTCCGAGTGCCTCCACACTCATACACAGCATACAACCGTACTTTATTTGTGCCTCCACACACTTAATCTATCCATGTACACGGGCCATACTGCGAGTCTTGCGCTGTGCACCATGTCGTAGTTCTTTTCTACCGCCTGCTGGCTCATATTGCTGAAGGATTGTCCGTGTACTGGCATTCCGGTGGCATAGGCACCCAGAGTGGAGTCAGCCCATTCGCCTACAGTGAGGAGAAGCCGTCGTTTGGGATCTTTGTTCACACACGACCAGCCTGCCATGCCCTTGCCTAGGAGTGTAGAGAGCACCACATGATGTGTTTGTATCGTGGAATGAGCTGATAGTCGGTTTTAGATATCTTCATGTATACGTGACTAAATCGAAAACAATAATACTATAGCGAATTGCCTGTTTGGGGACCTTGTCCACGCACTTTCAACTTGCCATGCCCTTTCCCAAGAGTGAAACGAGAAGCACAATACGTGTTTGTAACCCGAAAGGCTGATAATTTGTTGACAACACATGTGTGCATGTGAAACGAGAAGCACAATGCGTGTTTGTAACTCGAAAGGCTGATAATTTGTTGGCAACACATGTGTGCATGTGATGTTATGTAATACAATAAATAAAAGTCCAGAGGCAACTGTGATATAACAAATTGGCTGAGATCGTCAGTAGCGCACGACCAGCTTGCCACGCCCATGCCTGACAGTAATAAACAGTGATACAGCATGTTTTTGGCATGAGAACTATAGCCAAGAACAAATGCCCAGTAACCACCCGATACATGACTTGCTACACAGTTCTACGATATGAACCGTGCACTAATATGAGAACCAGGAAAGTTGATTCATGGTTGGTTTCCACGCAAGTGGATGTACTCGAGGAATTCTACAAGCTGGCTACCAGACAACATGTGTAGTCCCTCATACCATTTGCGGAGTTACACCGCTTTGAGCGAAGGCACAACAGCAGTAAACAAACCAGTACATGAGATTCAACTCACTGGTTGGCACATGCTTCGTATGCATCTCGAGAACGTTTCCGGACAGACTTGCAGCTTATAATATAATGATACGATAGAAACGAATACCACTCAAAGGGGAAAGCAAACGCTGCCAGGACTGCAAAGCAATGAGTGTATGTAACGAGATACAAGAAGCACACAGAGTGTGTGCATTGCGACGTTGACCAATACTCATGCAACTAGTTGCAACTGGAAATATACCACTCTCATGGCAAAGCGGAAACCTATCAAATAAAAAAAACCACTAACTACCTAACACTCAACTCTGATAATTCACAAGTATGTCTCAGCGACGGCGTTACAACACGCACGGAATTAGTAAGGCAAAACTGTACCTGCATCATCAGGATTGACAAGCAGCAACGCGTGCTTCGGGTAGGTTGCCAATTCGTTGAGGGTTTCCACTGTGACTATTGGGATGTCCTTCAGGGCAAGCTGGGTGGACCACACATGACATTTAGCGGCCCCTGTGTTCATGAAGAAATGAGCCAATTGTAAGCAAGTAGTTAAGGCACCATTAACCTGAACCAAGACATAACCCGTTGTCGAATCTCGTATTACTTCCAGTGCACTTCTGAGCTCAAAGCGCCTTATGTATACACTAATATTGCACCACGTTATACAATCAGATTAGTGGCACATCACGCGAACTAGCGTAGCGTCAAGTTGCTATGCAGACTAGATATGCATGTCATCCGTGTACACAGCCTCAACAACCATCGCGATGTGCGCCCTTGATGTCGAGCTGAACAAGAGGCTCCTTACAAATGGGGTTTGTCGGCATGGGAAGATACATATGATGAGGAAAGGCGAGTTGCTTGCATTTATAAACCATCACTTACCTACAGCGACCACGCCGTCGCATTCATCGTCGTCTCTGACGAGGTTGACTACGGTATCAAGGGCGCTACCGGTAGGTATGATGAGCCCTTGAGAGCGCAGATTGTACATCTCCATCTGCGATAGTAGTTCAGGATATAAGAGAGCGGTATACATCTCACACAGGCAATAAGGTCCCGAGACCTAGTCCACTGACTGCCCGGATAAAAAAGCGAGATATCGAAGAAGCTGCCCAGAAAAATCAAACAGACTAATGAAGCCACCCATCAGAATCGCAGTAACCAAACAGCCGCTCGAGTGGTGCGGGTGTGCAAAAGGCAGGCAGGTCAAAGCATACTATTCCCTCAAGCAAATCATCAACTAGTATCGGTTGTATACATCGAACACTGCGACGTGTATTGACTCACCCTCATGGTGTTCATGTCGGAGAGCGACACGGTTGCAGTGGTTATCAGCTGAGCCAACAGATACGATGACCACAGGCGCATCTTCTCTATGTATATGTCCGCCTCAGGACATTCCGTGAGTATCAAATCCGTGGGCCTGGTGGCATAAACGTATGAATGCGGTAAGTTCTGTGGTCGCAAACTACAATATGTGAAGCGTGATGACCCTCCATTACATGACTGTAACCGGATTCGGTTATCTTCTAGGAACAGTAAGTGAAGTTATTGCATCGTTAGATCCCTCTGTTACCCACAAGCAGGCAGTTCATTCGGACAAGCTATAATTTTACAATGTGCACCAGCCCGTCTGAACGCCCAGAATATTACAATGAAAAGGTGTGACCAAAACTCATGCGCGCACCTGAAAACTATATTTTCAACAATATACAGATATATACGTCTTTGTATATATAATACATCTACAGTCCCTGCAAACATGAATGAGACCTCAATCATTTCCAGCAAATAAAGTGGGAGGGCAGGCGCCTTCAGCAGTACAACCAACCGACCGCGAGTGTGTGTGACCGGATCATATGCACATATATGAAAATTGCATTTATTATACTGATACCAAGATACACAAACATGTACATACTTCGTGCTCACCTACAAAGCACACAATATACCTGAGACCTCTATCACATCCAGCAGAAACCTTGGAGGGGCAGGCGTCTTCCAATAGCACTACCGACCGTGCGAGTGGGTGTGACCACAGCTCGTGTACAAACATGAATATCAGATGAGCCGTCTGCACATGCAGAGCATCACTGACACTCGCCGACATTAGCGTCTGTAAGCTGAGCGGGGGCCGTGGGGGTGAGGGCGTTTGAGAAGTGGATAAGAAATAGATTCCTGATATGAAAAAGTCGTATCAATTAACCTTCTGTCATCAGATAGAAGGTATATAATAGTTTTCTGTAATCAGATAATGGGCACGGATCAGTTCCCTGTAAATAAAGTGTGGGTGCGAATTTGGTGTATTTAATAAATAAATAAATAAAAGTGTGAACAACATCGGTTGGCGCATACGATTCTGTTAGTTCTGTGGATCAAGGCCCGCTCCGGCACATTCAAGAACTAAAGCTCGGTATATCGCTAAATTCTCCACGCTTGGAATGGCCCTCTAGTACCATGCTAAGTAGCATTAATATCTCCTTGGAAACGTCACGTCGTAATGGTTATCACACAACATTCAGAACTTTAAACCACCCTTTAAAAAGCATGGAATGACCCTCTAGTAGTACTTGATAAGACTGATATTTCCAACAAAAAAAATTCACACAACCTTCGCATGAACATTTCGCACACATGGTCCGCGCTTCATTTGTATATCATAGGATGCACACAAGTAGGACATATGTATACGTATGCTCACATGCATATTCGGACCTATCTGCGTTAAAAAAAGCCCAGAATAACACGACTTACACATTCACAGTTGCTTCCTGATTTGCATCCATCTGCGGTTGATTGGCTAGGAGAGTGTGAACATAAGGTGAGCCCTTCGCCATACAGCCATCGCAACCACATCGATTGATCTGATCCATATTTGATACTTGCCTGTTCCAGTGCTGGACACAAAAAAGCACAGCTATTTAGATCGACAGTATATTTACATGGCTTAATATATATATATATATATATGTGTGTGTGTGTGTATATTACGTATATATATATATAATATATATATATATGTATATATATATACAGTACATATATATATATATATTTATAAACATATATATATATGATATTATAATATTATATATATATATATATAAATATATACATAAATACATAAATACATAAATATATATATGCATATATATATATATATATAAACATATATATATATATATCAAATAGCACTGCTTTTATACAAATCTCCAACTCGAGTGTGCCTAAAAAGTGAGAACAAACTATCTACCACTGTGTGAATCATACTTTCGTTAACATATAAGTAATAATACCAAAGCAAAATCTACAACGTGTCTTTCCTCATGTACAACAAGCAACACACCTTCATCAGCCTCTCTTCACATAGTTGAACCCCGTTCTGCAGAATCTTTCTCTCAGACTGTTTCACCGCCAGTGTGTGCGCTCGTCTCCTTTGTGTGGTGTCTGATGTGTTCTTGTCCTCCGTTTGCGGCATGTCGAGCGCACTGATCATATCCGTGTACGTCTTGTGCAACGTAATGTAGGCAAGGATGTCATTACCATCCGCAAGAGATTGATCTGCCTGCAGAGTTGCGTCGGACAATTCATAAAAGTTACTGAATAGTATAATGGAGCAAATGACCTTGCCAGCAGGTCTAGCGTGTGAAGATTACCTATTGAGTGTAAGCCTGGAGCTGTACATTTCATCTATCCCACAATCAGACCAACTATAACAAACACCACTACCACATGACAAATACATGAC